GACTAACAATGGGGCGCACCTTTCGAGGGTGTTTCAACACTCCGAAGGGTATAAATAGCGGGACCTTTCAATTAGAGTCGGATCCTTGCGATAAATGCAAGAGTGGCAACTGGAAAAAAAATCGAATACTTCATCATTTCTCAATAGTGATAGAGTAACACGACATGCACTAAACTAAGGACACGGAATATACTACAATAGATCAATTTTCTGGTCGCAATAGTGTTAGGTCCCGAAAAGAGGAAAAAAAATCATACCATAAACTCATTAAAAAGTATTAAATTGTCAGATTTAGTGATCTTTTAGGATTGACCTTGTTCATGCGGTGTGACTTCATTTCAATGTTCAAAGTGATAATCGAAGATCGAAGAATGATGATCGAAGCGGTGATGGCGATACCAAACAGTATTATGCGTAAAGCTCAATCGTGTCCAGTGTTGGCAAAATTATCAATCAAAAGATGTTTTTCCGCTCTCATACGCTCTAGATATCACACGTGATATTGGAACAAAATATCATGCTTGATATTGATTTTGCGAGCTCCTTTGATATTGCGAGACTATTCATAACGTGTAAAAATCAAGCTGAGAGTTGACTCGACACAATAAAGATTCAGGTGCACATAGTTTTCTTAGAAAGAGAAAGTATAGTTTGCTACCTCTTTTTACTCTTCACTGATGGCAGACACGAAAGGACTGCTGCCAGCCGTTAGTGGTGGTGGGTGAGTTTTGAAAGCTTGTTATTCCGTAACTGTGTTTGCTTGTTGATTTTTGTCTACGAAAATCAAGCGTAATTTTGTACATTAGTGAGATTTGATTTTTTGATATTTTGCCAACACTGATCGTGACTCTTCGATTGTTTGTTAACATTCGTAAGTTGCGTGAATGATTAGAGAGAAGCAAAATGAATACATTTTTGATCAGTTTGAAAGTTATTTTGATACATTTGAAAAAAATATTTGGGTTACATTAGCAGTTCTTTTTCTTCTTCCTCAGCTTAGTGTTCTAGGTGCACCGATGCCTGTACCATTTCTGCATTAGTATAATTGTGTGGGAAGTACAATCATTCTCTAAGCCCAGGGAAGTTGAGATATTTTCCAACCCGAAAAATTCCTACACCGAACCGGGAATCGAACCCAGCCACCTCTCCAGCATGGTCTAGTTTTGTAGCTGCGCCTTTACCGACTAAGCTAAGGGAGGTCCCTTATCACTGCATCCTAAAGGGTGATACGGTCAAAATTTGGTCAAGGGAAAACGCGTGTAAATCGGTGAAATCGTTTATTTAAAAAATCAAATTAAATTTCTTTTTCAAGTTCAATTAGTATAAAATTCAGGAAAAATATTCAGTTAGGCTTCCGCTTTTCCAAATCCGAATTGCCGGGCCTTACGCTTGACCCCTGCCATCAGATTTTGTACAGCCACCTTGTCCACCTTCTTCGCCGCAGAAAGCCACTTTGCCTTGAACTGCTGCTCGCCCTTAGCAGTTTTTTTGGTCTTCTTTAGGTTCCGCTTGACAATAGCCCAGTATTTCTCAATTGGGCGGAGCTCTGGCGTGTTGGGAGGGTTCTTGTCCTTGGGAACCACCTGCACGTTGTTGGCGGCGTACCACTCCATGGCCTTTTTACCGTAATGGCAAGATGCCAAATCCGGCCAAAACAGTACGGAACAACCGTGTTTCTTCAGGAAAGGCAGCAGACGTTTATTCAAACACTCTTTCACGTAAATTTCTTGGTTGACAGTCCCGGAAGCTATGAAAATGCTGCTTTTCAAGCCACAGGTACAGATGGCTTGCCAAACCAGATATTTCTTTGCGAACTTTGACAGTTTCATGTGCTTGAAAACATCTGCTACCTTTCCCCTTCCTTTTGCCGTATAAAACTCCTATCCCGGAAGCTGCTTGTAGTCGGCTTTGACGTAAGTTTCGTCGTCCATTACCACGCAGTCAAACTTCGTCAGCATCGTCGTGTACAGCCTCCGGGATCGCGCTTTGGCCGTCGTATTTTGTTTATCATCGCGATTTGGAGTCACTACCTTCTTGTAAGTCGATAGTCCGGCTCGTTTTTTGGCTCGATGCACGGTTGTAGACGATACACCCAGCTTATTTGCGGCATCTCGGAGAGAGAGGTTAGGGTTTCGCTTGAAACTACCGGCAACTCTCTTTGTCGTCTCAGCGGCTTCCGGTTTTCGATTTCCCCCCGATCCAGACTTCCTGGCTGTCGACAAACGTTCCCCAAACACTTTAATTACATTTGTAACGGTTGATTTGGCAACTTTTAGCGATTTTGCCAACTTTGCGTGCGAGTAGCTCGGATTTTCGCGATGCGCGAGCAAAATTTTGATACGCTGCTCTTCTTGCTTGGACGGCATTTTGACAACTCAAGAGTGAACTCCAAAATCAAAATAGGAGCAACATTCTACACACACACACCTTCAAAATGAGGGGTGTTCAGGTTTTTTAAATGCAAAATTGAAAGAAATACGTCAAGTTGATATTGACCAAATTTTGACCGTATCACCCTTTATTATTAATAGAATGATTTGAGATAAGCTTTAAAATTTTTAATATTGATGAACTGCAATACTTATATTCTGATCCATCTTATTTAATGTGTTGCTAAAAAAATACATAACATATACATGAATCCAGTTCATGAGTGTATGTTGAAAAATCGACCGCATCGTAATCGCATGTCTAATATTTCAATTTTTTGTTTTGTTTTTATGGACCGCCATTGATTTTGATACTGTCTTACGAGTTAAATCATACTACAAGATTTAAATTTGATGTACACAGTATTGGTCTAGCGTGCTTTGGACGTAACTGTTGATATTTCCGGACCAACTTCACCTAGTGTACCTTATGGCAGTGCTTGATGATTGATAAAAAGAGTGACTACATGGGCCTCCTTTAGCTCATTCGGCAAAGGCGCAACTACAAAGCAGAACCAGGCTGAAGGTGGCTGGTTTCGATTCCCAGCCCGGTCTAGGAATTTTTTCAATTGAAAACTTTTCGATTTCACTGGGCATATAGTATGTATGTGCTTGCCACACAATTACACTAATGCAAAAATTGTACAGGCATCGAAAGCTCTCAATGCGATAAGAGGCTGTTTATTAACTACATAGGCAGTTTAGGGGAAGAGGGGGAGGGGGAGGGGGGGAGGTTGTTTTCAATTATCCACGGCCCATACAAATTTTTAAAATTGTGTATGGACAATTGTTTACGCAGAGAGAGGGGGAAGCAAGAATCAAAAAAAAAAACTGTCTACGTAGTCAATGAACAGCCGCTAAGCAATAAGCTTGAAATGCGAAGAATAAGAAGAATAAGACTACATTTGTGGCTTCTGAATCTTTGGCTCCAGTTTGACAGTTCACTGTGGCTCCCAAATGACAAGCATATTGAGTAAGTCAGCAGTACCAAGATTTTGACTATTCAACATTTTTTTAACGCCAAACCAATCCCGAGATAGAGCTGATTTCTTACTTCCGGATTCTAACTGAAGCAGACTCTATCATCAAGTATGGGATACATAAACTCTTAGAACGGTCTAATTGCTGTTAAAAAGTGGCAACGAAACTGGTATTATACCTAGTAAATTCTATAAGAGTTTAATAAATTCTGTGGATATTTGAAAATCATGCTGGCAAAGTCATGCTACTTTCAAAAAAATTTGTTTAATGATATAAACTAAAATATCAAACAAGCATCAAGGTCAATATCATACAATAACCACGTACTAATGGCCCTAATGTGTTTTAATAACATGTGTGCCAATGAAAAACCGACCATACCGTAATGCGCCGAATACTAAACTGTTCATTAATCCGGACATTTAATTTATTTTTGATTTTTTGTCTACTTTGCGATTCAGAACGATACTAAAAGACTGTGATAAAATTATCGTGTTATTTTGAGAATGCTAAGGAGTATTAATCAACTTTTAAATGTGTCCGGATTTATGGACAAAGTGTTCAAATTTCGAGTCTTTGTGGTATACAAAATTCTGTAACGTCGAGATCTAGTGGTGGCTCGAAAATTTTGTTTTTACGAAAATCGATTTCCTGGGACTTAGTGAAATTTCGGAATTATCACAAGAAGCACAGAAAATGTTTTAAAATGTCTCAAACGTTTTAACAAAACGTTCAAAATGGTGAACCAAAATTCTTCTTCTACGATTTTTTGTAAATTTTCCAATTATTTGTAATTTTAAACATTCCAATTGTTTGCATTTTGTATGAGTTTTTACTCATTACTTTTATGAAAAATCAGACAAGGACGTTTTCTGATAGTAAGATTTTTTACATTTTTCTTAAAACAAAAATTGTATATTTTTCGCAATAAAAAACATGTATTTTGTTCACAACTTTGTGTTAAAAGTCATTTTGATCGGAAATTACATTTCCGGGCTAAATTTTTTGCAAAATTTCATAGTCATCATTTTGAAAAATTTTGAATATCCAAAATGGCCGAACTTTAGCCCAAATGTGAATCATTGCCCATTACAAACAATTATACAAAGATTGATGCAAATCGGAGAGCGCCGTGTTTTTTTCGAGGTAATGAACATTTTGTATACAGTTGGCTTGAAAAATGAAATTGTCACCTTTTTCTCATACATTCCATTGACACCATAATGAATGATTCCAAGCAGCACCGAATCCGTTTTGGGTCAATTCGATCCAAAAAGCATAATATTATGATAGGGTCAAACACGAAATTTTCCACGAGACATTAAAACTAGCATGAAACTGTTAAACGATTCAACACTCCCAGAGCAAGCCCCGGAAGCACCACCCCGTTAATGGCGGCTTTGTTTATACTTTCAAATGCATCCATGATTAATTGTTTTCGCTTGTAAAATATGTATTTATTTCCCTGACATCGCTGACACAGGTGCGATATGCCACGGCTCAACTTCAACTCAACTCTTAGTAATTTGAAATTCCAATCATCATCACTAACCGCTTTCCTGCATATATCTGCTCTTCCCCTTTCGACAGTGGTCACTCCGCAGTAATTCCAGTCCAACGGTCGGCAGCGGCAGCATCAACGGCAGCACCACAAAGGACGTATGGACCGATACGGACAAGGAGCACGACGATATGATCATGCACTCGGAACGATCGGACTCGGGCGTCACTTCCCCGAACAGCCACCACCACTTGGAAGATCAACAAACCAGTGGAGTTCCTTCGCCATGCTGCGACTTGTCCTTGCTGGATCAGATCCCGACAGATGACGTGCGGAAGAGGATCGTCACCATGACCAAGAGGGCGTGCTACGACGAGGAGGACAAGATGTGCTTGATGCAGATTTTGTCACTGTTGAACAACTTGGAGGCACTGTCGCAGGATCATGAGATTGCAAACGAGGAAATGAGCCTGGAGATGCCTGTGGTTAGTAACAAAACATGTTCTTTAGTAGAGGTTTATCAAGATTTTATAATCGTTACTAATTTTAGAAGTACAACAACTATTCCTTCCCGGAGAGTCAACCACCGAAGTCGTTGACGGCGACATCCACGCCGTTCAAAAGTCAACAGGGCAAGATGGTGGCCACCGTGCAGCCATTCAGTAACAATGCAAATACCTCGGCATCCATGACGACCTCCACAGTGGGTACCAGTGAACCAAAGAGTTTCTCGATCGCATCGATAGCGGAGACATTTGGAGGAATGAAAAAATCCGCCAAATGGGGTTCAACCAGCCTGCAGGAGAGTGGAGTATTTGTGGACGAAATGATGGTCAGCTGTGTTGGCACGCAGACCGAGGTGGAAGACTTCCCATGTCTGGAAAAGACCAATGCGGAACTTTGTGCCGAGATTGAAAAATTGAACAGATTCCGGCAGAAGATCGAGGAATGTACGATCAAGAAAAACGGGAAGAATCCTGTGGGAGTCAGTTTATCGCTACCGGCGGAATCTTGCGAACAAAGAAGACTGCAGTACTATGTGAACCGGATGGAGCAGCTGGAGAATAAAGTCAAGGTGTACGAGAGCAGCGGCGATCAGCAGTTGAGGCATCTAGCGGATAGACTTCAGCGAGAGATTCAACTGGAGAGCTGGGTGGATCAACTCAGTGAGAAGGTGAACAAGTTGGAAGACGAAAACGAGCAGCTTGAGGAGGAGAGATGTGAACTGGAAGAAATCGAAAACGACACCCGGTTGAGGTTACAGCGGATGGAGGTGGATTACGAGATGATGAGCCAGAGGAATACGGAGCTGGAGATGTCCAAAAGCTCGTACCAATCAAAGTATCAGGACGCCAGAGATAGCTTAATGAATTTAGAGGAGCTAGTGCACAAATGTGAGGAAAGGATATTCGTTCTTGAGGAAACAGAAAATGAACTTAATGATCGCATCGATCTCATACTGGCATTTATTCCAGTATTGTTGATGTTCAACAGCTGGCAGCTGCAGGAACAGATGGCTGCCACTCGGAAACAGTACGCTATCAACTATATCGCACCAGAGCATATTGATTATTACGAGTCAACAAACGGAGATCTACAAATGAGACTGAATGATCTGATGAACCGTGAGAAGGAACTCACGCAGAACATTGCCGAGTTGAATCGAGCTTACAATGAAACCCTGGAGAATGCAGACAATCTATGGGCTCAGATGGAGAAAGAGTACAAAGACAAGATCTCCAAGTGCGAGATGGTGGAGTTGAATCTCAAATCTAAGATCGGTCAGCTAGAGGAGCGATTGAGTAAGGATAGTGAATATGCTCACGAGAGAATTTCTTACTTGGAAGAGGCCGAGAATAGCCTCAAGAATCGAGTATCCAAACTCAACAAAGAGAACAAAGACCTGATTGCCAAACACGCCGCACTCCTGGAAGAGTACACCGCATTGAAGGACGAATACTGCAAGCTACAAAACTACCTCAAAGGAACGGTTGCAGAGAACCTTGATAAGGAGAAACGCAAGATCGTTACCCTAGAAGAGGAGCTTACCCTCTCCACGAAACTCCTCAAAGATGTGGAAGAGCATCACAAATCCGAGTTGGGACAGATGCGTGGTTCGTTACTGAATGCAACCAAGGAACTGAATCACATTGAAGTGACCAACAGTGAGCTTCGTGAGGAAGTAGAAACTCTGGAAGTTCGCATCCGAGAATTGCTTACGCTGAGAAACAGCGACGAAGAGTGCATCAAGCACTTGACGGAGGAGCTACAATCTAAGCAAGCGCATATCAGCCAACTACAGCAGCATCCGTCTAGCAACCACCGGGGAGGCTTTGGAAGAAGTCTTGCCCAGGAGCTGGAACGACCTGTCAAGGGATCCTACTCGAAATTAGGTTACGAAATCCATCCGCTCAGCCGGAAGTTTCCTGGGGACAGTGATAGCAGCGGAAGTGAGGTATGCGAAAGTTCGATGTTTATAAATAAGGTTTACAATTCAATCGTTCAATTGTAGGACAAAGTCAAATTTCCCGTCACAAAGGCAGCCCCAGAAGCCAAAGAAGTCAAGAGCCTGGCCGAAACAATCATCCTGAATGCCGAAAACCGAGGCATTCGTGCGCCAAAAAAGTCATTTGTCGAGGAGGTTAGTTGTTTTAGATCTTTCCCTTTTTGCTGGTGGCTGATTCTAACCTACAAAGCTACGTGCTCCTAATTGGTTGAAGGACATTTCAATAATAATAATACAATGCCATTGTTTTTACCATCGTTTGCTGATTCCGCAGGCCCGTAGCCGTTTTGCCCGTTGGGTTTGAAGTGTGAATTTCTTTTCATTGTACATTGACATTTAGAGCAATATCAGCTGACAGATATGAGCAGAGCATCGCGCAGAATGCTTTTCTCTGTTTGGATGGGTGAAAAATCAACTAACTCCATACCTAAGCAGGCCTTAACGTGTCAATTCATTAAGAATATGACAAACATTCTCTAGGTCTGGGATTTGTTGAGACTGTGGTGAGTTATCATTTGTTTTGCTGATTTTTAAACTAACTAAAAACGCTCCAGTAGGCTACATTTTATTTTTTTTTAAATGTTCTAATCTTTTACCAATCTATTGCAGACTATCTAAAAGTGCCTTGTAGCAAAGTTGTTTCTAAGTTTGGATGCGCAAAAAACATCGGTAAAAAGGCGTAGTAGGCCAACGAAAACAATATCAAAATATTCATCACACCGACGAAGCCGGCGCTGCCTTTGAAGAAGGAAATGATTCTAGTCGTTCACTCTGTTAAAATTATTACATTGTTCATCAAATACCTTTAAGTTAGGACAACTGTGTACAGTTATGTCATCACCATTGGCACAATCTATTTATAATGCATAATCACGATCGTTGAAGCTCCTGCATTATCACGAAACAAACGAAACGATTTTTGTAGAAAGACAATGACGACGAACAGTTTAATTTCTTTTTGGAAATTACTCTTTTCTTACACGCTAACCCGTTTTTAGTTGTTTCGTTCTAAACTGCCAATAATTCGTACACTTGGTTTGCATCATTATTTCCCAGTTTCACAAATAATTATGTTAAGCTTGCACCTTTACTCCGTACTTTTCGTTCTTGTTGTTTAGTTTTTGTACTCCTGTGCATATCCAGAACCCTTAAGTTTATGAATTCAATATCGATTAGTTTTTATTTGGTAGTACAATTTACATTGTAGTGGCAGCTAATTCATCTGAAGAAAGCTCTGTTTTTACCCTGTTTAGTTTTTTGTCGTTCTTTGACGTCTGCTGAACGTGTGACTTTTAAGCGAACCTCTACTCACGACTCGAAGAGTAAATCTCGAATGAAAATTTTCTCTCGAAACCATTTTGTTATTTATTTTCCTAATATCTATGACATTTCCTTTTGGTAAATCAATCAATCGAAAGCAAAGCAGTAATTTTGTTGCATGTGCTTGTTAGAATGCATGAATGAAGTCAAATGATGAAACTTGTAACATGTCAATGAAATTAAATGTGAGCTTCCACATTTTTCGCAAATATACTCAGAAGAAACAGTATAAAAAAATGTTAAACAGGAAACCTTTTGTAACGGTCCGATGAACAAGCAATTGTAAAAAGAATGAAATAATATATTGAAACTTTATTAGAATGATAATGTTTAGCATATACTTTAAACAAACCGAAATTCCTGATCGATGAATGGTGCAGAATTTAGACCTATGCCGGATAAGTTTTTGAAGGTCACCCATGAGAAAATTCTTTGGCTGGTCTACTTATTGGTATGAAAAATAGGCAGCTATAAACGTAAGTTGTCCAAATGTTGTTTCAACAGATGTTGTAGAGTCTTCCCAGGTCGTTCAACGGATTGATTGGGATTGATTGTGATATTGGAAGTCGAATGGATGCAGACCGTCAGGGGTAAACTGCTTAACGAAGGTCAACGTCATCCTGAAAGTTAGTGTTCTGGTGAATTAACACAACCAAGCCAAAGAGTGCAAGTAATAATAACGTGAAGAAGAAAAGTGGGTATGGTCCTCAAATCCGGATCTAGATTTGAATAATGCTTGGCGCAGGACGAACCGGTGAGACTGATTTCTGGTATCTGAATGCAACAGTGTGCAACAGCTCATATGACGAGTGACGCGTCGTTGTTGAACGGTTTGGATAAAACCAATGCCTGATGGATGAAAAATCGCTCAAGTCTGCTGGAAGCGGAACCGGTTTAAGCTAGTTTCCTTCAACGGCAATGATGCCAGGATGCACGTAACGTTATACTCGTCATTTTCGGCATGTTCACTATCTGGCTGCCTGTAGAATCACAGATTTGGGGCTTCGGGTGCAGTTTAAGGAAACGGAGTGCCATATCCTGAAAGGAGAAGAAACAATGCTAGTTGGGCAGCGTAAAAGTGGACTTTATCACCTGAAGCTGTTTACGGATAGAGCACTGTCGGTTGAAGAGAATCATTGCGATTCGTGTGAGCATTTGTGGCATTGTCGCCTGGGGCACCGAGATTCGACGGCTGTAATGAAAATAGTGCGTGAGAATCTTGGTCACGGTTTGAAGATTGGCCAATGTGATATGAAGTCGGTGTGGACCTTGTTGCGAGAGGAAGATGAGTCGGGTCTCGTTTCCTTAGACTTTGAAAAGCCGAGCAAGTGAAATCAGTGAGCTTGTGTACAGTGATTTGGGTGGTCCGATGGAAGTGGCAACACCGCGGGGGAATCGCTTCTGCATCAGTCTAGTCGACGATTACAGCAAGCGTGTCAGGTCGGCACTGATTACGTTACACCAAGCGCATCAGGTCGGCACTGATCTGTGAAAGAAAGGAAGGATGGATGAGTGGAAATCCCATTCGGAAAATGGAACGAAGAAACTGATTTACCTACCTGAGGGACGTAAGCCTGTCGGTTGCCGCTGGGTTATTAAGTTTTAATCGAAAGCTATTGCGGTTAAATGCGAGACCAGTTTCAGCGCGAGCAAACCGAAATGCTGATAGGGCACATTCTATGACACATATTCATTACGTACCGCTGCATCGCGCAACCAAAAAAATACAGCGGGTTAAACACCATAAATTATTTACAACGGAATGGTAGGGCATTATTGCAGCGTACCGCTACATCACGCGACCAGAATTATTTGCCTTGATAATGTTTAAATATATGAGCGGAGCTAACCAGCAGGTAAATAATAATAAAAATAGCGGTCCCGTCGTGGCGGGTTTCTTGGACACTTTTCAAGACTAATCAAACTTCAACATGCTTATGTGGAGTGAATAAATTAACTGATAGAAATAGGGGAAACGCACCAATATTGACCATGCTCCTATTTTGGCCACCTTTTGACGATATTTTACGTTATTGAGATGTTCAGTTGCATTCAGTTTCTTGATGTACATAAACATTTCGACCACAAAATGCACGAATATTGTAATTTAATCGGTTTTATGGGGGGTTGTTCTAAATAGGAACCTATGGCCAATACTGGTGCACTTCCACTATGTGTGGTATTTCTATTAGGTGAACTTTTGTAGTGTATAATGAGAGGTACATAAAGATGCGAAGTCAATTGTAGAAGATGTTCGCCATATATCCATTAAAATTTAGTCGTAATTGTAAACATACGGGCTACTTGGGACAGATATGGTTTTTAAATGTAATTAAAAATATTTATTGATACCATCATGGATATCCTGAACTGCATTGAAATATAAACTTTCTGTGAACTATTATTTATCATAGCACTAATATAGATATGTTTTAACCCAAATTTTTTTTTTAATATATAAAGTTGTTTTTTTTTAAACCTTACTTAATAAATCATATTTTCGTATTGTGACCAGCTTAAATAGGACCCGCAAAGCTGCGTCGAAGTAAGCGTCAGCGTCAAATTTGAATGAAAATGATGGAAAAATTATATTATATCTAAAATAAAAATTTAAACAAATTCTCAAAATTTTCAAAATTCATTTTCTCAAAAACAGAAAAAAAAACCTCCACCAAACTTTCCCAGAATTAAGTGCAGGTATCAGATTAAGACTGCATATCAGGTATAACTAGTTAAGTCCAAAGCTTTTGGTAAAAGGAGAAGTCTGATTGGATTTTTTTGAATAATATTTATAAAATTTCGCAAAATTATTTTCAAATTTAATTTTCTAAAGAATAGAAAAAAAAACTCCACCAAACTTTTCTAGAATTTAATGAAGGTACCAAAGATAAAGACTGCATACAAGGTATACCTAGGTAAGTCCACAGTTTTTGGTATGAGGAGATGTCATATTGGAATGTTTTTGAATAAAATTAACAAAATTTCGCAAAATTTTCAGAATTAATTTTTTTAAGAATAGAAAAACTACCTCCACCAAACTTTTCCAACATTTAGTTCAAGTACCATAGATAAAGACTGCATACAACGTATACCTAGGTAAGTCCACAGTATTTGGTATGAGGAGATGTCATATTGGAATTTTTTGAATAAAATTAACAAAATTTCGCAAAATTTTCAAAATTAATTTTCTCAAGAATAGAAAAAAATACCTCCACCAAACTTTTCCAAAAATTAATTCAGGTACCAAAAATAAAGTTAACAGAACCATAAGAGAGTCCACCGTTTTTGGTATAAGGAGATAACATATTGGAATTTTTTGAATAAAATTAACAAAATTTCGCAAATTTTTCAAAATTATTTTTTTTAAGAATAGAAAAAAGATCTCCACCAAACTTTTCCAGAATTAAGTTCAGGTACCATAGATAAAAACTGCGTAGCAGATATACCTAGGTAAGTCCACAGTTTTTGGTATAAGAAGATGTCATATTGGAATTTTTTGAATAAAATTAACAAAATTTTCAAAATTAATTTTCTCAATAATAGAAACAATAACTCCAACAAACTTTTCTAGAATTTAGTTCAGGTACCAGAAAAAAAGACTGCATACCAGCTTTACCTGGGTATGTCCACAGTTTTTGGTATAAAGAGATGTCATATTGGAATTTTTTTGAATGAAATTAACAAAGTTTCGCAAAATTTTCAAAATTAATTTTCTCAAGAATAGAAAAAAACATACCTCCACCAAACTTTTCTAGAAATTAATTCAGGAACCATTGATAAAGACTGCATACCAGCTTAACCTGGGTAAGTCCACAGTTTTTGGTATAAGGAAATGTCATATTGGAATTTTTTTGAATAAAATTAACAAAATTTCGCAAAATTTTCAAAATAATTTTTCTCAAGAATAGAAAAAAGGACCTCCACCAAAATTTTCCAGAAATTAATTCAGGTACCAGTTATAAAGACTGCATACCAGGTTTACCTGGATAAGTCCACAGTTTTTGGTATAAGGAGATGTAATATTGGAATTTTTTTTTTGAATAAAATTAACAAAATTTCGCAAAATTTTCAAAATTAATTTTTTCAAGTATAGAAAAAAATACCTCCACCAAACTTTTCCAGAATTAAAATCAGGTACCATTGATAAAGACTGCATACCAGTTTTACCTGGGTAAGTCCACAGTTTTTGGTATAAGGAGATGTCATATTGGAATTTTTTGAATAAAATTAACAAAGTTTCGCAAATGTTTCAAAATTAATTTTCTTAAGAATAGAAAAAATACCTCCACCAAACTTTTCCAGAATTTAGTTCAGGTATCATTGATAAAGACTGCATACCAGCTTTACCTGGGTATGTCCACAGTTTTTGGTATAAGGAGATGTTATATTGGAATTGTTTGAATAAAATTAACAAAATTTCACAAAATTTTCAAAATTAATTTTCTCAAGAATAGAAAAATATACCTCCACCAAACTTTTCCAAAAATTTATTCAGGTACCAAAAATAAAGACTGCATACCAGGTTTACCTGGGTAAGTCCACAGTGTTTGGTATAAGGAGATGTCATATTGGAATTTTTTTGAATAAAAATAACAAAATTTCGCAAAATTTTTTAAATTATTTTTTTCAAGAATAGAAAAAAATACCACCACCAAACTTTTCCAAAATTAAGTTAAAGTTTCCATTGATAAAGACTGCAAACCAGGTATACCTTGGTAAGTCCACAGTTTTTGGTATGAGGAGATGTCATATTGCTATGTTTTTAATAAAATTAACAAAATTTCGCAAAATTTTCAAAATTTATTTTCTCAAGATTAGAAGAAAAACCTCCACCAAAATTTTCCAGAATTTAGGCCAGGTACCATTGATAAAAACTGCATACCAGGTATACCTAGGTAAGTCCACAGTTTTTGGTATGAGGAGATGTCATATTGGAATTTTTTTGAATAAAATTAACAAAGTTTCGCAAAATTTTCAAAATTAATTTTTTCAAGTAAAGAAAAATATACCTCCACCAAAATTTTCCAGAATTTGGTAAGGTTTCCATTGATAAAGACTGCATACCAGGTATACCTGGGTAAGTCCAAAGTTTTTGGTATAAGGGGATGTCATATTGGAAGTTTTTTAATAAAATTAACAAAATATCGCAAAATTTTCAAAATTGATTTTTTCAAGAATAGAAAAAATACCTCCACCAAACTTTTCCAGAAATTAATTCAGGTACCAAAAATAAAGACTGCATACCAGATTTACCTGAGTAAGTCCACAGTTTTGGTATAAGGAGATGTCATATTGGAATTTTTGGAATAAAATTAACAAAA